TCAATGATTTAGTCTATGTCCCACTACACTTATTAATACACTGTATATCTATTGCCGTGTGAAATATCACGAGCACTGTAATATATAAATAGCATCTGACTAATTTTATTTTAGCTTAAGAAGTTTGCAACTTAAAATAATATAGTGCAAAATTAAAGTTGCTCAAAAAGACGCAGTTTATCAAATAAATCAATACTACCAATTTAAATTATTTGTTCTGCTTCTTATAAATATATAATACATTCTAATTTATCGCCTTTTTAAAATTGTCTGTTTAATCGTAGTCTTGCCAATGTTTGGAATTCTATTTTTGTTTACCCCAAATGTATGCATTTTAATTAGTTGTTATGTGTTTTGTTGTATTGGTTATTCGTTAATTTTAATTTCCGTTATATCTGGATATTTTTGGATATACTATGTAGCTTGATTTTCAGTGCCTTGTGTAGCATGTATCATTTGTATTATTATTATAGTTTCCGATGCATGAAAATTATTACATTTATGTCATATTTTCTCATCTATATAATTATATAATAAGTTTACTATTAAGTGCAACATATCAGTCGTGGCATACATTAATTAATTTGTATGTTATATAATTGCAAATAACATTACGCATATAAAAATTATTGATAATTATAGAAATCAAGAGTATATAAATTTTCGAAGAGTCATAGTCTCGTCTTATCGTGACAATAAAAGAAAAGTAGTCTTCATACACATTTGATAGGAATTCATACTGAGATCTCTTTCACTGCTGCACCATTCCTACACATGATCAGTACGACACAGTAAGAGGTAAACGTGATCTGGTCCTCTAGTGGGATTCGAATCCACGATCTCAGTGTCTTAGTAGTCCTCATCCACGCACGCCTTTAACCGCGAGCGTGATTCCTCTGTGGTCGAAGAAATAAGTTGTCACAAAGACAAATTGCAGAACGCAGCTGAGGCACGGGCAGAAAGACGGTCCATTGCAATGATTCACGGCCTTGCAAAGTACAGCGTAGTAGTAATACGTCTTATTGCAGAGGTTGACAGGGAAAGTAAATTACTGCAGGTGAATGGTTCCTCCTAGAAGGAACGGACCCTCTGATGGGCATGTAAATGGATATTGCATATAAATCAAGGTTTCAGCGCACAAACATTGCTTTATGTTCTGTTAGGTCTAGCCCAAAAACGTATAAAGTTAGTGTCTATTGAGTCAATTTTCACAAACTGTTTTTTGCACTATCAGAATTCTAACTTAATGGAACGCGGTCTTTGTGAAGTTAATAGTCGCTCAGCTGGTGAAGAAGCATCTCTAGTTTTATGGAACCCAACTCTTTATTATCGTGCTTACAAGAGTCCGCCACTGGCTCCTTTACAGAAACATGTGAATCTGGACCACGCCCTTATATTCTACTTATTTGGAATAAATTTGTATTTATCCTTCCATCTATGCCTGTATCATCCATGTGACATCTTCCTTTCAGGTTTACGATAGAAAACTTGTATGAAATTCTCATTTTCTACATTTCTACAAGCTCGGCTTATCTCGTATGTCTCGACTTGTTTTTATTAATGCCAGGTAAAGAGTACAAGTATGAAGCTTCTGAAAAAAAAGTATTTCAAAATTGCATGTCTCCAGCAGCCAAATACAAAATACGTATTATCTGCTTCAGTTCATTGTTATATTGTACAATGACACGAGATACATCAGTTATGTTTTTGACAGAACACGAGTATCAGAATTATTACGCTGGGTACGTAATTTTCGTTCAGTTTTACACAACATTTAAAAGGAACAATTTAAAATGAATACACATTAACGAAATGCTTATTGTATGTCATTTACCATGTGGTATGGATTTAAGCCTGAAGGATATACCACTTGTAAGTGCGAGTCATAGATGATCTAAAGTACTTAAATAATGATGGAGATGAATTCAACACGCATTTGATATGGACAAGACACGTTTATGTGAAATAAAAAGTTTTCACGAAATTGATGAACTTGTTGTCCATTTGGGTTTTGGAGCCGGTAGATGCCAACATTACTGGCTTTGTCTTCGATAAATCAGGAATTGCCCCAATCGTTAGAATTCTTTTCCTACAAATTTATATATATAAATCTCTTCACTTCTCTGCGTTGCCACTTCAGCCCTGAAGATGGAGAGTATGTTTCTTTTCGAAACATCGGCTTCTGCCGACCAGCTACTCGACATCAAAACCCAGTAGAACGTCATTTAGCCACGTTTAGTTCTGATAATTTTCAGGGTGATTTTATACTCGTGCGCTATATTTATAATTTCAAGATCATACAGCTAGTCCTTTTGCACGTTGAACGTTGGTTTTAATTCTCTAGTAGTAATTATTTTAATTATTTGTTAATTTGCACAATTGATTCACTAGCAACTTAAATGCTGACATTACACTACTGTAATATGCATTTTTTATAGTAATGGAGTAGGGGTTCCTGGTCGTATACAATTGTTCGAAAGATCAAAAGAGACGAGTCTCCCGATAGACGTGGGAGCCATAGTCGCGTTCTGCCTCCGCAATGGAGAAAAAGGAAGACGTGTTGAGGTTTATGTATTCAATCATTGGTTCTGCAAAAAATCTGGGAGCACCCACAGCTTTTTCGTACGTTTCCTATTCTACTTCTGAAGAAGCACAGCAGATATACTTCAGCAACAAGCGCCAGTAGGTGATTTATTTCTGCGTTACTTTCGATGCTATTTCAGCTGCGAGTGCTCTATTAAGGAATGTCTATTGATATCGATAGCTTCATACGATTCGGGAAACGTATTCGATATTGTTATTGATTTATTGCATGGATGCGTCGCGGAGTTTAGTTGCCGTCATCAAATTGCATGCTTCAAGACCACGCAGAAGTTCGAAACCCCCTGACGCGCGGCTCAAAGTCAACAGAACAGCGTTGCAGGTTTTGCTACGCTGCTGGGTCTGAGCTGTCTTCACTCGTTTGGGCTTCGCTCTTCGTGTTACAAAGTTAGACGATTTTGGCATCGAAAAAACTTGAGAAATAGAAGTTCGTCTCATGCAGAAAACTGACGAAATTATTTAATTGGTTGTCATAAGGGAGATTTGTTGTAAACTCTTATGGTATTCCTTCGTTACATCAGATGACATGACATTATTGAGTTTAAGAAATAAAGCTGTAGATTAATTTTGGCCTTGCAAATATATGTACGTCTGCTTTATTAATTATGGCGTATGACGTAAAAAAGTGGAAGAAATTATCAAAATTACATAAGATAGGTTGTAAGGTGTAGTGTGATTACAATAACTTTAACCAAAATCCAGGGCAGTAATTTTATTAGTACGAGTACATTATATTTAAAGTACTTCCTATTAAGATGTCTGATATTAACAATGTCTCTTGATGTGTGTACATACACTTTTTAACTTAGTGTTACAATGATTGCTCAGAGAAGTCTACGAATCCACTGATGTTAATCAAGAATTTGATCTAGTTTCCTTTATAATTACGAACTACACTTCACAGACCTATATCAAAATAGCATCACCATTCTCTGATTAGAAAAAAAAAAATTAAACAAATTACTGATCTCTCGTTTGTAGGCTGTTACGTACTTTTGTGCTAAGCCACGAACAATGAGTTATGGCTTAAAAGCTGGTGGCTATAGTAAAACGAAAAAGCGTAACTTAGCATCTCTCGTACGCTTGAAGACCTTTATTTTTCCGGTTATCAGGACGACGTTATCTATTGAATGAGTGTTTGTAGGCCTTCGTAGTTACTTCCGTTCACGCACGATTCCAATCGCCGGAAAGTGCTTACAGAATTCTATATAAAGATATGAAGGGCAAATAGCAGACAGGAAATTAGTTCCTGGTCACTGTGTTTGCATGGAACAGTAGCTGTCTGCTTCGCTTTCTGTTCTTTTATGTTCTGTTTCAGTGGTTACGATGGAAATACATGTGACAAACCACAGGTTTCATGAAATGCGTGTAGAATCCTATTCGTTGAAAGAGCACAGCCTATCCCTTTATAAAAGGTCTACAGATATTTTTCTTCCAGTCTTGAATTTAATATGTTTATTTTATGTCTAGAAAATAGGTCACCTGGACTTCAAGTTCGACTTTGACACTGGTGTCTTTCCGGGAGATCCTAATTCCCCATCGGGAGACTTTACAGTTTCGTTTGATGGTTATGCAGAAGACTCATCTGTCTTCACCTGTTAACAGTTCTCTCTTCTAGTAGCTTAGATATCTTTTCAGGTATATTTTTGGAATATCTCAACAAATCAATGTTCTTCAGTGATCTGACAAGAGAACACACCAATGGCGCACCGGAGGCTGGATGGGGGAATTTTTAAATATTTGGGCAGTTGAGTATCTGCATCGTACTTCATCTTTCATGACGCACAATCACGAGTCACAACACGGCACACGCGTACAACAAAGGGTACGTAATTAAAAACGCGAAAAAGTGATGAGTCATCAATATGTAAATCAAAATTCCACCGTCTCTGCTCTCATGTCCCTACTGCATATTACCCTAAGGTTTTCACTCTTGTCTTATCCTCGCCAGAAGGAGCGGTCGTTGCCTGGGAACTTTCGAACTTCATAATGCTCTTTCTGCCCCTTGAAATAGTGTCTCTTCATCTTCCCCTCTTCATTTATCTCTTTTGCTAGCCTTTCTAACTCTCTCTCTCTCTCTCTCTATCTTCGGCTTGAAAGGGTTAAATACAAGGTGATCTGAGACTCAGCGCATGTATATTGACAAGTGACGACGTTTCGTTCGAAATATTTTGTATTGTAGTCGAACATTTCCTTCTACTGTTGGCGGGAGCAGCCAGGTCACGAACCGTGTACTAGACACTAAAATCCAATTCATCTTTTCTTGTTGCCAATACTGTAGAGCAGATAGTGGAGTACAGACACTTGTGAACATTTCTCTTTTATGTTATCTTGGTGGTATTTCGAGCACTGCCTTCTTTATACAATCTGATGGTGAATGCTGCTGTTTGTGGTCGCAGGACAAAGAGCAACCAGAGATGGATGAAACTGAGAACAACGGTTCAGCTGTCAGGTGCCATTACAACGATCCAGAAGAAGCCCCCGCTCAAGAGAGAGGATTCGTTCCTCAAGAGGTTCTCCACCAGGCAGATTCCCGAGACGCAGGTAACCTCATAGTCCATCCATCATTCTCCATAACATAGAAGTCATTCCTGGGCATTACTGTGTTGCTTGTTTGCCTATAGTATCATGATGCCCGTGTGTCCCTGTGAAGGTAAATCCTCGTAACGTTATAGCCGAATGAAGTTCGTACCACTGAAAACAACCGAACTCCTGTAACCTGGCATTACATAAAATGAATGACACCAATATCGTGGTCCTTCAGTACTTTTGAGATGCGAGGTTTCTAAATTAAGTGGTAAGAGGTAGATGTGCGGAATGAATGCGATTTATTTGGAGGCGATTAGAAAGAATTGCCGTGTTCTTCCGAACATGTCAGAGCTACTTTGAAGACCGGGGACAAGACAGATGGATAAATTAAGACGTAACTAAGAAATATATGTTAAAAGTATGGCATCTGGTGTTAGTCCTGGGCGTTAAAACATTATATTTAAATGATTATTTTATACACCAACCACTTTTAACTACTTTCTATTATAAAATAGGATACAGTTTGAAAGGATATAAGTCTAAGTTTGTTTGAATAATTCTTAAGAATTTAGTCCTTAGCGCAAATGAAGCACAAGACTTCTCCATTACAGATATTATCTGCTACTCTTTCTAAGTGGGTAATCTCTCTTTTACACTGAAATTCACACAAAACCCATAAATACAGAATACGGAGTTAATAACTGTTAAAGCAATGCTACAGAAAGTTACCGTACACCATATTTTAAATCGATAAGCATCACGTTTCATTCGTATTACGTTGAAATCTCGTAATGTATAAAATTGTGACTGACAGAAGTAAAATTCTAGGTTTCTCTTATCTAGAAGAACTGAAGTCCATCCTGCAGCTTCTGTTCGCGGTCCCTCCTAACATGTCCACTACACTTAGCCGGAAGTCCAGGAAATTGAACCGGAAATGAATCACGTCATAGAATTTCTCTTGCATCAAAAGTAGGCTTCGTAGGCAACGTTGCTTTTCTTTTATCTGAATTGAAATGGAAATACTCCCAGCACTTAATACCGTTTGTGTACAATTTTGAAGCGGTAGACTGTGGCCCCTTGATGCGATTAATATTCTGTTCCGGGAAGGTTACGCCATTCCGTCTGTCTCTTTGTACTCAGTAGCTACTCTAAACCTAACTGTGTGTAGTATGTTGCACCATTGTCTTATAAACTTAATTATTTTCGTACAGATACAAGTAGCAACACTTAAAATAATTTGCTTATTTTGTAACCTCTGTTAAAAGTGTAATGTGAATAGTTCTAGAATTGATCGTTGTGAATGAACGGCGTGACAGTTGTAAAAATTAAAATAAACACCGAGTATATTAACCAGTATGGACCATAATTTGACGTTTAACAGCATTAACATTTAATAGTGTGTAATAAAGCAACCGAATAATTCTTTATTATAATTGGTTTGGCACTATGAATTACCATTTATTACTACTCATTTACATGTAGAAGTCGTCGTAGATGATTTTATGTGTGTTTTACTTAAATATTATTTGAGGTAATGGACATAGAGATGGGCATATATAAGTTTTTATCTCATTGTCTGCTTATCAGAATTCCAGATTATTAAGATAATAGCACGATGACTTTGCTGTTCTTTTATTTTGATGTATAATATTACGTCCATAGATTAACGTATCTGTAAAAAGTGCGCTAAGTACAATATTTCGAATTACAAAAATATAATTAGATGGTGACTAGAATAATTAAAGAACCTCTCAGTTTATATGTGCTTGTTCTGTTATGATATTTAATTAAGGCAGCTACAATTAATAGGGCGTCTGATGAAATACCCCTACATAGATAATGAATACAGAATGTCCACAACAATAGGTTATGGCTTTAAAGATTTGCAGGCTCTTTTGAACACGAAAATGAACCATCGGTTTCAAGGAGGGCTCTGCCTCGTAGATTTAGTCACGTCATAGGAAACGTCTTTCAGATCCCTCGCAGCATCACGCAACTCAGTGTTTCTGTCTTATTCTCTTTGTTTATGCCCAAAAGCCTGGAATTGGAAGCTACCGTGACGGTCTCGGCGTAATGACACTGTGAGTGAGGATGCTGGAAGACTGCATGAAGCGTTATTTCTTTGCATTTACTTGCTTGTATTGTCAGACGTTGATCTCATTCTTTATGCTGCGAGACTGTAAAAATCAATGTCAGAATGTCTTAATGACGCATTACATTTTCAGGCAAGAAAGAATATTCCCTTCTGCAAATGCTGACGGTGGGTCGACGAAGTCTTTATAGGTTTATGTGTTTCTTGTAATTGCGATTATAGCTGTTGATATTATGAACACATGTGATCAAATGATAAACGCTCTTGTACCAAATTGCATTTCGACACTTGGTCGAACGTCTTGACCTGATGGATAGCCATTTTCATTTGTATTTCGGATGTCCCAGATTTAAACCTCGGCGCGGATATCGGTTAGCTATCCACACTAAAATATTTTGTGGTTTACCTCACAACCTCAAGGAAAATTCCGCTTCTTTCCACATAATTTACAATTCTTTATTCTTTAATAGTCCTTATTATTCTTTGTTGCACAGCCCAGGCTGATGATAGTTGTTAAATAAACCACGTATAAGCAAAGAAATAGAATCTGTGCCTGTCCACCGGTTACCTGCAGGGCAATTCTTGAATAAGTGATATTTAAGATTCTCACTGCCGCGAGTATAAATATGACAGCCTTCAGGGTATTGCGCCGTGCAGTCTCGTAGAAAGCGAGTGTTTCCTGTCTCAATCATCATCTTACTGTATCGAACCGTGCCATCGATAAATCGCTTTGAAATCGATCTATGGTGACACGACCTCAGCATCGTTTCATCACAACTTTTCAGTGTGTAAATCAAACAAGGTCTCGCGATGTAATACAGATTTCAATGATACCATCCGAACTATCATCGATAATTTGGTCTACAAACGGTCTTGTAGGTGTGTAAGTGTGTCGATGCTTCAGTCCTCACAAAATGTAGGCAGTCCCAATGTAGTTGCAATTATAATTTTATAACACCGTTTTAGTTCAAAGAAAGAGCCAGCTTCTATAAGCTCCAATATCTCATTAAATTTCATTAAGATGTTATGATGTAGAAAATAATGAGAGATGTTTGCGTAAAAAGTGATATTCCCGAAGCGTCGTTAATGCAATGCTGTGGAGGAAGAACCCGATAGCATCCGTTTGCTACCTATCGATCTGTCTGGTTTGTTGTACACACACAAAGTTAAGCCCTTTATGCAGGACTCTTGAGCATGAGAACGGACAAGGTTCTGTTAATTCAAACAAAGTTTGATTGTTTTAACTGTGTCTTCTTCATTTGGTCGAAATACCAGGAAGAAAGATACAACGTTTGGAACTTAGGCTTGGGTGAGAGGGTAATATTAAAATGGATCTTAAAATAGGATATGAAGATGTAGAATGGGTTTATCCGGCTTGGGAATATCTAGAGGCGGATTATTATTAACACTGTAATGAAATTTCGTGTTCTTAAACGTTGGTGGGGGGGGGGGGATTTATTGGCCATGTGAGCGATTACTAAATTCTAAATAATAATTCAGCTCCTTGGAGTAATTTAGGATTAGCAGCAATGATAGCTATGTTCTTTGAAATAATTTAAATTTACTACAGATTTGTGGAAAACTCTCTTTTGTCAACCTAGCCTAATAATAACAAGATCTGAAAGGTGTACTGTTTGGAGTACACTGAGTTTCCAGATGTGTTCTTCAGGCCACATAACGTAGATCGTTGTTTCTCTACTGTCATCCCAGGTCACGCTGTTTCATTGCCCCATCGAGAAACTTGTTAGACAGACAGACAGACATCGTCGGGCCCATGACGCATACTTCTCTCAAGCTAGAGCGTGAAGGCGAACACATAATAACGCGAAGAAAAGCATTTTTAAATATGCACTGCCCCATGTAATTAAGAAGGATATGGAATGAAAAAGTCGTGATAATTTTTGTTTAATGTCACTTACCTGTAGGGACTCGGTTTGAAATAAGACTGAATTGATACTAGAATTAAGTGCGTTGGGTCATTTTATTTGTGGCTTTGTCGTCATTTCAGGAGACCATGGACACAGGGGACGACGGCGATGGTGGTCCGAGCAGCCAGAGTACAGCAAGCACCAGAAGGCGTCGTCGCCGAAAACAGCGTCTTCCGCGGACCGTCGTGAATCCCGACGAGAACTTCTACTTCTACTGGCTGTTCCTGCTCAGTGCCTGTGTTCTCTACAACCTCTGGACTCTAATCGTACGACAGAGTTTCCCGGAGCTTCAGTCAGGCGCCACCATACTGTGGTTCACGTGCGATGGCTTCAGCGACGCGGTTTTCCTCTTAGATGTGGCCGTCCAGTTCCGTACAGGTTACCTTGAGCAGGGACTCATGGTTTACGATTCAAAAAAACTCGCTGGACATTATATTCGTTCTCGCGCTTTCCTGATGGACCTGTGCGCCCTGCTACCTCTTGATTTATTACAGTTTTACGTCGGTATACAGCCGATATTAAGGTTTCCTAGGTTTCTAAAAGTGTACAGGGTATATAACTATTATTACATGGTGGAGTCTCGGACGGTGTACCCGAACTTGTGGCGAGTCGTTAATCTAGTTCACATACTTTTGATTCTCGCGCACTGGTTCGGCTGTTTCTACTATTTGTTATCGGAAGCCCAAGGTTTCATCGGCGTCTGGGGATATCCTTACAATGAACCAGGATATCAGCAGCTGACACGCAAGTACCTAGGATCGCTTTATTGGTCAACGCTCACCTTAACAACGATCGGCGATCTTCCAACACCTGGCACCAACGTCGAGTAAGTACGTCAACTCATTTGTTTACATGTATGTTAGTTTTTTTTATTTACTGAAGCAATGCTTAGTGTTTTACTCTGCTTTACTGTGCGTTTATTTTGGGATGGCGCTTAAGTTCGGGGCCATGCGAGATATGTTATTTGACAAAGCACGGAAAATGTTAGGCTTGCGAAGTTGTTGCAAATGATGCTTCGAAAACGAAGTGCTGGAATTTTAACGTTATGGCGCTACACGCAGAAAATTGTATGCACTAAAACGTTACTGCGATGCTACCAAGTTGGTGTGACAGAGAAAGGAGGATGTATTTCCAGGACAAGGGCAATACAGTAAACTCCATTTTTATTTAGAGAGTGGCATGTCGAAACTATAATCATCGTCGTATAAATATTTTAATAGTAAGCTATATCACTAAATTAAGAACTTATTTACAGGTTATTACAGCGTTTATATTAGCAGCCAGAAAAAATGTCAGTTCTTTTCGAGTTTAAAAATCTTCGATAACATAAAAAAACGGTTTCCAGTTTGATTGCCGGAGATCCTCTTGAGAAACTACACGGGCGTGGGATATAGTCTTGATCGAATTTTGAAACATAAAAATAAAACTTGTTTCCTTTAACATGATTTAAATTTTTCGCGAAATAACTTATCTATTGCTACAAACAACATATAAAATATTAATTAACATTCTCGATTTCGATTTTATATATCTGTTAACATGGGATGTCGCTGAACCATATCATTGGTTTATCGGATATAAACGTAATGAATGTCTCTGGAGCTGTGGATTCAGTCTATGCACTCAGCCTGAAGAAATATTTAATACCTGAAATCAAATATTCAGTCGATAACCCTTCATAAGGTGATCGATAACAGAGTCACTGAATCGTTTGTATGTCTGTTCTGTTGCAATCATTATCTGGAGATGTAAATGCTGTTGAATTTTAAAAGTATAGACCTGTTACAATATATTCAAGAAATACGTAAATTTTTAACGTTCGTACATACATACATGCGTATACAGACGTACGTAGTTTGGTACATATTTCTTGCGACACTCGGTATAAGCGCATCAAGTCTGGTTAGTATTACCATAGGGAGTAAATGTACCGAAAATTAAACACAGACAATTTCCTAGTTCTTGTCTTCCTTTCTGGAAAACAGCGAGTTTCACTTATACAGCCGTACCCAGCAGGCATTACCATAAGGGACGCTCGGTTTTTATCTCTACTTTGAATTCAACTGTACAAAGTCGGATGTGGCGTTTGTCTATCTACTGCTTACCTAGAATTGTTGCAGCATAAAATGGCAGTAACGAACTGCTTGTTCATTTTTTGTTTGTTTGAGGTATGAACCGTTCTGTAAAGAGGAGAGACCAGGCGAAAATACATAAAATTGCAAAAGGCTATCATTTATTAAAATTAAACGCGATAATAAATCCAGCAGTGATGGTGTTCTGTATACGAATGTTACGAGATCAGCTTTTTGTGAGGATTCTTTGATCTAATCGGATAGTTAAAAGTTAGTTTCTAGATATATATCGACCCGTCTTGTCGACCTATTTTATCACTGGAACACAATATTAAAAGAAAGCTTTACGTAAATGAGAAAGACGACATAACGATTGATTCTAATGCAGTTTGGATCAGTAACTGAGGCAGTCTCCCCTTTGAGAAGCTGACAGTCGCTGAGCTACTCAACAGGTTTCCACCTTTCGAGAAACGAAGGTGTTTACAAGGTCACTGGTACCTATTTCTGAGCCGTTTCGATCATATCAACTAAAAATACGCGAGATGTTTAATTAGCATGTGTACATTTATTTGTTTAGTAATATATTATTTACTTAGCGTTTTGTAATTAGCCCAGACGACAAAGGATCGATATGAGTGGCCTAATTTGAGATACTATTTCGGCATTTTCCTACTGGGACTGAGGAAAGCAACGAAAACTCTCGTTTAAAACAGTAGCTTCAGAGTTCTCAACTCGACATCTCCCGAATAAGATGAAGTAGTGTTATTCATTCTACCGCGACCTTCGGCAGAATCAGTGTTTTTCAATAAATACAAGTTTCCATAATTTATCTGCACCGATTTCTGGACCCGTTCAAACATTCGCATTGACACATGTAGGCCTCCAGGCATATAAACCTTCACTGTCGCAATTCGGAAGTAATCAGCCTTTATGTTTAATTGTGAATGAGTAAACGGGCGTTAGCGACAGGCAGTCATTTGATATGCCAGTATTACACATGCGAATAACTTTGTGTGATGTCTGTGTTAATCACTGGAATGTTCAAAGCGGTATCTGTTCTTCATCTGTCTTGTTATGAGATGAGCCCTTACCCATTACCACGCTGCTCTTAACGGACGAGACAGGATACTATAGGCACTTGGAATTCAGCGTGGCTCATTAAACTGCAATTACTTGCTTCGTATGAGCAAAGTGATTTGATTACCTAGCATTAAAACTTTTATGTAGAGTACTAGTATTAAATCGCATGTGTGTTGTAAATAACTCGATGAAAAATACTCAATGAGAAGTTAATAGTTGATCAGTTGGTTAGGAAACTTCCTATGTTTTGAGTAAAACGAAAGTTAACTTCGACTTTCGCAAGATCCAGCCAATGGAGTTCTACCCCGAACCAGATTAATGTAATTCGTACGCTATGTCTTCAGAGTGGTCGTTAGGTTTTCTAACCAAAACTGGATAATCATTTTTCATTTCTTCCATGCGTACTATATATCTCCAGTCTACTACCACTTCCTCCCTTCTGCGTACCATATGTACGGTGTCCGGAGTCTCAATGTCATAACTTAAGAATCTTATTCCTGAGGTCATCCCAGTCATAAATGTCATGCTTCAGTGTTTGCACAGCCGTAAGCAGTGTATTGGTGAAACTTTTATCTGTTTCTCAGTTTACTGAAGCATTCCTTATGAATAGGGGCAGATTTGATCCATTTACAGTATAACCTCTTCGAACTAATCTACTGAATTCATTTGACTAGCCTACTGAAAATTCCAATTCGGAACTCGTGTCTGCACGTTTTTGCTTGGCGAAAGGAAAAGCCAGCACGTTATACTAAAGACCCGTATGCAAAATAATAATCTGGAATTTCGAAACTAAGCCGCTTAATTTTAATTATCTGTACATAGTAACAAACGAAAAATCTTACTTCCTGACAAAGAATGAAGCCTGATACGCCGAGAATTTTTCTAAATTTCTCACACTGCATTCACATTCTGAGATAATACCTTACGAAGGATAATTAGAATATAACAAATTGTCTCCACACAATTTAATCTGCCATTCTAAAAACCACACGAGTCTTCAAAGCCCACTTTCTGAAGAAAAAAAAACTGCAGATACATTGTTTATTTTAAGCTTGATTTATTTTCCCTGATTCCATTATTTTCCATCATGAATGTGGTTATATGTATTTTGTCACAGATGTGGTGACAAATTTAAATCCTGTGGGTTTCATTGAGTCTTTACGGCGGGTCAGTCTAATTCGTTCAGTATTAAAGTAACGATTCCAGGACTCGTGTCATTTTACGTTGAAACAGACTATAGATAGAGCTGCTAATACGCAGTAAAGGCTTAGACTGATGTGGTTCTTCTACGAAATGATGCATTTTCACTAGATTGGCCATGGTAGTAATATCAAAATTCTGTCGATGTGTGGACTCACTCGGTTCTGAAAATCCCCGTCATAATTTGAAATTGATCTTTCCCAGTCTCTTATCTACTTCACGGGTTGCTATATAACAAACAAGTCAACGAGACGTTCTTAAACCAACAAAAACCCACAATCATGTACGTTCTTATAATTAAATAAGTTGCATATAGAAAAATAACGTAATCTCTAGTAAGAGACAATTCTGCTCGTAAGAGAGTGGTTACTTGTTATTTTATGGTAATGTTTGTAGTTGAAACTGTCGAAGACTTCTAAGAAGTAGACAAGGTTATATAACCTATCCCTTATTTTTGACCTGATACGGGCGAGGGAGTCGTCTTTACTCCAATTCGGCTTTGCTGAAAGGGGGTTTTCTAAAGCTCGTCTTCAGTTCAGCAAACTTGATGACCCTAATTAATTCAAGTCATAGTAACTTTACTCCACAAGAAGTTAGATCGTCTTTTGTAGTCGTCACATCCGCTTCCGACTGCGTCTCTACTTCACCACAATACTGAATTAAGGTGAGGACATACGGACCATTAAAACACGTACTAAAGGCATTCGCCTTTGGCTTTGGTGTTTTAAGGCTCTGAAACGTAGAACCATTTACACTTCAATACCTGACGTATCGTTATACGAGTAAAGTGTATGAAGTACAAAGATTGCAAGAAATTTTTTAATTATAAACCAGTTACTCACAGATCCAAATATTTCTCTTAGTCGTAATTTTTGATTATCGTATCCGACGAAATCTTGGTGAAATTTTTGAAAGAAAATTTTCTATCATTAACAAAAAGAAAGGTAATTAGCTCCAAGGATCACAATCATTTTTGAGAAGCTAATAGTAGCTTAATTAGTCAAGAAATTTCCGAAGGTCTATTACGTTGTCCACAACAGGCCGTTGCAAGAAGTGTAAACCTGAGATGGTGGGCAGTTTAAAAGAAATCAAAATATACTACAGATATTTTATTTTATAATCGACTACTCGTAAACGTCATCAAAAAACTGAACTTGCTTCCTCTGAATCTGTTTTAATCGACGTCTTTTAAACACTGTCCAGGGTTCAGTATTCCTCTAACATCCGTCTTGGTTTTAGATTTTTTAAGTCTATTCTTTTTCGATTCTCTCAAAATTTGTGTAATAGGAGCTCCGGGGAAAAGAACGTAGGTCTATTGCACACACACGAGGCTGAAAACATGGGATATTGGGTTTAGGTACTAAAACAAAGCATTTCAAAGAACCTCTGTTCCTTTTATTGACACGTGAGTCGAAGTCGACCTTTAGAGAGAGAGTTAAGGAGGATAGTAGAAAAGTAGGAGCTAGAGAAAATT